CTCTGGAGGTGACTGGGTTCGATTCCCGGTCCTGCGGTCTAGGAATTCTCTCAGTACGAGTTGAACTGTTGGCACCGACAAACCGACATGAAACTAAAACTTAGCTCTTGATCGAGAATCAATAACGGCGGATTCAAATGTGCAGCGATCCCATCTGTCAAAACCATAGAAATTTATAATCTAGATAAAAATAATTTGCCCGGAATAGATTAGACACGAACCAACTCATACATTTAGTATGTGTGTTCGTGACTAGGATACACATTTTTCGCGAACACGACGGCAGATGTCAGTTTTGTGCTTTGATCAGAAATTTGATGATACTTTGTATGATCATTCATGTCGGTTTGTCATTTCTGTTGCTATATCAACGATAAATGCGACTCAACTTAGCGCGAGAATAGACAAATGCTGAGAATGAGTTTATTAAATATTACTCTCTCTCTCTCCCTCTCTCTCTCCCTCTCTCTCTCTCTCAGCCATTGAGTCGAATCGCCGTGTTCCATGCTGCATTAAGGTGAAAGTTAATGCTTTTCCGTTGATACTGAATCCACACCCGTTCAAACCACACTCAAATGCAAAATGCACCTATACCAACAAGCATTTCAAATTAGGAAAATGAAAAATATCGAAATTTTGACCGTATTCGTAAACACAATATTCTTGTATAATTATAATAATTCTACTACTTAAATGACAACTTCAATTCAAAGATTCCATGTTCAGGGAAGTCCTACTAATGCTCAGGGAAGTCTTGCTGTAGTTCAGGGAAGGGCTGCCGAACTTCAGCGAAGTTCTGATGAAGTTCAGGGAAGCCCTGCCGAAGTTCAGGAAAGTCCTTCCGAAGTTCAAGGAAGTCTTGCCAAAGTTCAGGGAAGTCCTGCTGAAGTTCAGGGAAGTTCTGCGGAAATTCAGAGAAGTTCTGTCGAAATTCAGGGAAGTTCTGCCGAAGTTCAGAGATGGGCTGCTAAAGTGCAGGGAAGACCTTTTCTTTTCAATTCTTGGAAATCAGGGAAGTCAGGGAAGGCCTGTCAAAGTTCAGGGAACTCCTGCTGAAGTGCAGCGAAGTCATGCCAAAGTTCAGAGAAGTTCTGCCGAAGTTCATGGAATTTTCTAAAAATTCACCAAGATGTATCAGAATACCTTCATCAAAAAGGCTGAAATTTTTACAAAATATACTCAAATACTTGTGAAACAACTTGTTAAGTTTGAAGATCAAATTGGTTTAAAAAATATGTTATTGATCAATGGTAAAGGTGGATCTCAAAACCTGAGTCGGAGTGTGCTGATCAAAGAATGTTTTGCTCAGAGTGAATCTGCCAGTTCGTCAGTTGCCAGTTGCCAAAACTTTAACAAGCTTGTCTAAAATTGTAGAAACTTTCATAAAGTTTGGTGAAGTTCTACTAAATAATTTGCATTTCTAAGAAGTTCACTGAAGTTTGCTCACTGGATTTCTATGAAGTTTGCTGAGCTTTTACTGAAATCCAATAAAATGTGTTGCCCTTCTAGAAAATCTACGCTGTTCTAAAAAGTTTGCTAGGGTGCTATGCAATGTTTTGAAGATGTATGAAGCTATATAACATTCCCTAAACTTTTAAACAGATTCCCAACAGTCTACGAAGTTCCCTGAAATCAAAGTTTCTATAAAAATTTTCATTGATTTCTAACTTGAACTTCTGTAAAAAGTTAGTTTAATCTCTTAATCTGATAGAGTGTCCATCTTTCGCCATCCGTAATTTTTAAACGTAGAAGTGAAGATATGTTGTCGATCCGGGATTTGCGTTGGTAAAGGGTGATACGGTCAAAATTTGGTCAAGGGAAAACGCGTGTAAATCGGTGAAATCGTTTATTTAAAAAATCAAATTAAATTTCTTTTTCAAGTTCAATTAGTATAAAATTCAGGAAAAATATTCAGTTAGGCTTCCGCTTTTCCAAATCCGAATTGCCGGGCCTTACGCTTGACCCCTGCCATCAGATTTTGTACAGCCACCTTGTCCACCTTCTTCGCCGCAGAAAGCCAGTTTGCCTTGAACTGCTGCTCGCCCTTAGCAGTTTTTTTGGTCTTCTTTAGGTTCCGCTTGACAATAGCCCAGTATTTCTCAATTGGGCGGAGCTCTGGCGTGTTGGGAGGGTTCTTGTCCTTGGGAACCACCTGCACGTTGTTGGCGGCGTACCACTCCATGGCCTTTTTACCGTAATGGCAAGATGCCAAATCCGGCCAAAACAGTACGGAACAACCGTGTTTCTTCAGGAAAGGCAGCAGACAAACACTCTTTCACGTAAATTTCTTGGTTGACAGTCCCGGAAGCTATGAAAATGCTGCTTTTCAAGCCACAGGTACAGATGGCTTGCCAAACCAGATATTTCTTTGCGAACTTTGACAGTTTCATGTGCTTGAAAACATCTGCTACCTTTCCCCTTCCTTTTGCCGTATAAAACTCCTGTCCCGGAAGCTGCTTGTAGTCGGCTTTGACGTAGGTTTCGTCGTCCATTACCACGCAGTCAAACTTCGTCAGCATCGTCGTGTACAGCCTCCGGGATCGCGCTTTGGCCGTCGTATTTTGTTTATCATCGCGATTTGGAGTCACTACCTTCTTGTAAGTCGATAGTCCGGCTCGTTTTTTGGCTCGATGCACGGTTGTAGACGATACACCCAGCTTATTTGCGGCATCTCGGAGAGAGAGGTTAGGGTTTCGCTTGAAACTACCGGCAACTCTCTTTGTCGTCTGAGCGGCTTCCGGTTTTCGATTTCCCCCCGATCCAGACTTCCTGGCTGTCGACAAACGTTCCCCAAACACTTTAATTACATTTGTAACGGTTGATTTGAGACACGCCTCGTCCGCTCATGTCTGAATAAACTTCAATGATAAACCTGCACCAGTAGCAATAGAAATAACAAGCCTCATCAATGCAGCAGGCAGCCGGAGTGAAAGAGTACTCTTTTCCCTTCTGTTTGTTGCGTACCCGTATTATATTATCATATTGGCTAATCGAATTGCCAGTGAAAACTTGTTCAACCAATGCTTCCTTCGCTCAATGATCAAAACCGCCTGCTATTCGAGCGGCATTCACTCGTCGTTCATAAAATTAATGGTTATCCGTTATAGCCTTTATAGCCGCGAAAGCAAAACACTGTTTTATTCTTCTATTGAAGCGGTAGGTGTGCGATACTTCTCTCTCGTGTAGTTTATTCTTCATTATTATTATGCAGGAAATTTCTTCTGATGATATTCCAGAAATTCATGAAATTGCAATAAAGATGCTTGAAGTTCACATGCATTTCTTGGAACATCTGCGATGTTTCCGAAATTGTTCAAAAAGTTTTCTAAACTTCCTTGAACTTCTTTGGGCTTCACTGAAATTTTCGATATTTCTGAAGGTTTCCGTTGTCTTTTATAAAGCACGTTAACCGAGGTTTCATGACATATATGACGAATAAAAAAATGAAACACTTGATAATAATATGTAATATGTTTAATTTATCCATATATTTATCTAAAAAAAAAGTAACGGATATCGCATGTTAAATAAATTGATCGAGTAACTGACAGCGTGTTGGTGAAAGGAATTGAAAGCCAAAATGAGGCATCGGTTCAACACAAAGACAAGAAAATCCACAGGCAGCCTTCCATTCTAAGCTTGCTGCCGGGGGAAGTACAACTTGATCTGAAGTAATATTTGGTGTAAAAATTGCTCATATTGGAAGTTATTCATGTTTTAGGATTAATTAAATATTTGTATCGTAAACCATATTTCAAACCTCCCTCTCCCTTTTCCCATCCAAAAAAATGTAAATCTCCACTAACCTCGAGACAACCGCGAGTATCCGGTCCAGCTCCTTTATTTTTAAATAATTTATAGCGAAAATGATAACTCGGCTCTGTAAAGTTTATTCGATTGAGCCTGTACAAATAAGGTGATTAATAAAAAAAATGGTAGTTATTATAATGTTTAGTATTGATCGCGCACGGGAGAGATCCCTACGTTGTGTTTATTTGTTTATCTTTCAATTGTTGATCCCGATCGATACGGATAGTAATGAAAAGCACCGATTGCTTCGCCATCCTGCCATGGCGGAGGCATACGAGACACTGTTTATTGTTTTGTATGAGGTTTTGTAGACTGTAGTATCGATACAGTGTGTAAGGTAAATGTGCATATGTATATGACGTTGTACAAACAAGTATAAATATTAATGATATCAACTGTCAAGCGGAAAGCTTCAAAGTAAAAAAAAGAACAGTGTAACTTTAACGCAGACACTCAACGACGTTTCACCGTTGTTTATGTTTACTGCAGCTTTCATCTTTGTCTAGATTTTCGTTTTCGATAGCTCTGATCGATTTCCACTTCGGCTTTTCATGATAAAAACGGTACTGGACGTTGTATGCTCATGGCCAATCGAGCGTAATACGACCACGGAGCCATCACTCTGGGACTCCGTTTACAGGGGCGGCGTAGTCAGTCGATTCCTGTTCCATCGGAGGACAGCACATTGGTTCGCAGACGATGGAAAATTCGTGGAAATTAATGACTATTTCCTGGGAACGTAAATGCGACCGATTATGTGCACTGAGATCATCTAACAAATAATGCCGACTTTATGAGGACAAGGAGCGGCTTTTGGTGACAGTGGCCAGCAAGATTATCAAAGAATGACCTGTCTCTCGTGTGAAATCCATTTTTTATTAAACAAATGTCAATTTTACACTTAAAACCAAAAATAGTCAAAACCAAAAAAAAACTACTGTCAGACCTTGTATAAGATTCGCAAATATCACACATATTAAAATATTTAATATTTCGACAATCGGTATTGATGCTGATACTTGGAGCTGTCCTTCCCCTAGAGTACATTATTCTAATGTTGCTCCACAAATTACGGAGCACAGTTCTAGCGACTAGAAAATATTGACAGTCATCAGCCCATCCTCCACAACCCACAGCAGAACGGAAAATCTTACAAACAATTGCAGTCTTTCTTCTTAACTCGTCCACAGATGCGGGAATGGCGGGACCGCACTCGGATCGGCTGACGGGACGGGACAATAAGGACGAGTTGGTGTCCGAGCGGGAGCAGAACCAACTCAAGCTCAATCAGTTCAGCGTCACCGACGGGATCCTGGCCAAGGTCGGCATCGGACACACTGGCACGACGACGGGTGAGTTGCGTCTTTTTTTTCCGATCGCTATTTCCAAACTCGTGTCGCGGCAATTTGACACTGACTGATTGAAATCACGTCAGCCAGCGCATCAACTCGTGCCAATATATATTTTTGGGAATCACAGCTCCATACGTAATTAGCTGCCGGAAAGCAAATTCAACCAACGAAAAATAGCATGGTGGCAAATCAAACTTTTTCGCGACGGGGGAAAAGATAAAAGAGCTGACAAGAGTATGATAACGATCAAATGGATGCATGGGAATTTCGCAAGAAACGGCAGAAACCGGCGAAGTTAATCGAAGTCAAGATGAGACGCGTGGAATGTATTTTCTTTTCCAGTTAGTAACGCAAAGAAAATGTCTAACTTTCCTTGGGAAAACATTCCGGCAATCAGGATACACTGAACGAAAACATCCGCAATATTTCGAATGATTATTGCATTGCCCGAGCGCTTTAACAATATGCTTCAGAATTTCGGATGATTGCCGTATGGTTGAATTCGTCATCAGTCATCCATATGACTTACAGCGCTCCGAGGACAACACTTTAAGAATAGGATTACTTGCAAATGCTTTAATTTGATTTTTTTTTACATTTCCATACTAAATAGCCATTCAATCATGTAAACAAAAATCGTTTGTTAGTAGAGGAAACTTCCTCCACCACGAATTAGACTATCTTCGGTTTCCACGCTTTACCAATGTTCGTACCACCTCGTTTGTCAGCTCAGATCAGCAAATGACGCTCAAAAGAAGTATTTACATCATCGTTTTTGGATGATTTGCGTTATGGAGCTGAACCAATACCATATTCATCCCGCATTAGAGGGGAGTATCATCTGATTACAAAGCAACCGTCATCCGGTTGCAGCTATCATTCGAAAAAGTGATTTCGATGTTTCGATTTCATTCGAATAGAGGATGATGTTTTGGTACAGTGTACATTGTGAAATTTCCAAAGGTAGTCTGTTTCATTTGAATATATTGTGAGTGTGACATTCCAAAAGCGCTCAGACGTTTCCCGTTAGAGTAAGGTGGGGCAAAAGTTGTTTTGAGGTTCTCGAAACCCGCCCAAAATAAAACTCTATAAATATATGTTGGGTGAAGCGAAGTGATGTTTTTTTTTAGGTTGGCAACGACTCAACGCCATCGGTTGGCAGCAAGCGCTGTCAAACTACATTTCGCTTGTAGCTAAATCGTGATTCTTCGATTATTTGATTCCTTTCGTAAATTCGCGAAAGTGAAAGGAGAGGCGAAATTAACTAATTTTAGATAAAATCCCGCAGCGAAATTGACAGGTGTTATGTGTCATACACAAACTTTAGCTCCTCTTCCTGCATCTTACAAATAAAAATATCATTCTTAGTTTAATAGGTTCATAATTCCAAATAACATTTTAGCTGTGATGATCAATTGCAAACCTGCTTCCAGATAAATAGTTCTAGCTACGAATGAACTGAAAATTCAGCAAAGCTCTGTAAAAGAAAATTGTTAACCTTGAATTAGGGAGCCTGAGTATTCAATTAGTTCTATTGCATAGGCTTGGAATTTTGAGATATTTTTTTCTACTAAGGTTAACCTTTTACCCCACCTTTCTCTACGGTTCAGCTCGCTTTGATTGGCATCAGAGCGACTGACTGGGATGTGGTACAGTCAGGAATCCTTATTGCCGGGGTAACGGGGGCGTGAATAAGGAACCGCGAATAAGGATACCAACAGCTTATGGGATTTTCACTAATGGGGGCTGTAGTGGACTATCTCATTTGTTTCAATACATAAAGCTATACTGTCTTTGACAAAGTTGCTGTACTGGGTTAGACCAACAAGCCTGTGCCATTGGATTCAGGTTAAATTGGGAACTACGCCGCTATAGGCGCTTCACTTTTATGTTACTTATGACGGGCGCTATAATATATGGATAATATTTCCAACATAGAATATTTCGTGATCCTGGCCATATAGAAAGTTACTGTCTTCAGCAAAGTTGTGCAGGTGACCAAGTCCTTTCGGAAGGTGGCCATATTATTTCAGAACTCTCACACTACGCGGCGGTAGTGTGCACATGAACTTCCTTAATATGATATGTCTCGAAAGCTTGTCCATATAATATGTTGCTGTGCAATGTGAGAACAGGAACCCGAAAAGGGATGACGTGTACAGGCCGGAAATCGATGTCAGATGCCATTTTGGAATCCAAGATGGCTACCATCGGTTCAAGAAAAACTGTCAAATACCCTATAATAGGGTATTTCCGAAAAGAGAACGACGTGTAGAGGCCAGAAATCGATTCCAGACGCCATTTTGGAATCCAAGATGGCGACCATCGGGCAAGAAAAACTGTCAAATACCCTACAATATGAGTATTTCCGGATAGGGAACGACATGTAGAGACCGGAAATCGATGTCAGATGCCATTTTGGAATCCAAGATGGCGGCCATCGGTTCAAGATAAACTGTCAAATACTCTACAATATGAGTATTTCCGGAAAGGAAACTACGTGTAGAGGCCGAAAATCGATGCCAGATGCCATTTTGTAATTCAAGATGGCGGCCATCGGTTCAATAAAAACTGTCAAATACCCTACAATATAGGTATTTCCGGATAGGGGATGACTGTAGAGGCCGGAAACCGATGCCAAACGCCATTTTAAAAACCAAGATGGCGGCCATCGGTTTTAAGAAAAACTGTCAAAAATCCTACAATGTGGGAATTTCCGAAAAGGGACGACGTGTAGAGGCCAGATATACATTCCAGACGCTATTTTGGAATCCAATATGGCGGCAACATGTTTTCCATAAATAAGGTTTACCAAGCATATTGCGTATAATTTATTGTGTATAGCGTATCATTGAGCAAGATCGCAACGTAACGTGGAAAATTTCTAAAAACTATAAAACGCTTTGATTTGTTTTGTTTTTTCTATCGTAAACTACAGATTTATTCCACATTTTATTTTCTCTTTCGATAACAAAGAACCAATCAGCGCTGTCATGTTTTATGCATTCTAGTCACTCTCGTTCTTCCACTCCGTGAGAAGGGTCTCGACTTCCCTTAGCAAATCTTGCATTTTTGCACTCCGTTCAACATTGCTGTCCAATGTGCAGAAACTTTCGACCTCGGAGAGTTGATTTAGTTTTAACTCGGTTTTTGCCGCACCAGGTGGTGGATGAAAATATCATCCATATTCACTGAGGAGGACTTCAATGGATTGTTTGATCGACGTTTAAAAAAATTCACGTGCATCAAATTGAAACAGTGCGTAAAGTTTCTTAATGTTATTCACAGTATTCAAACTTGCGAGTTTAGAAATGCTAAGCGATTTCGCTAAAAACGTTCTTAAGTCTTGTTTTAAGTGTGAAATGAAAATAAATTCAATTTTATTTATTTTACGCTTAATACTGTAACCAGTGGTGTGTCTGTCTGTCTGAGATTAGTGAGGTTGTCGCGATTAGTGTTTCGTATTTTATGTATAAAAATATGCTAAGGAAAGGTTTGCATACAATCTACTAACAAATCGCTGATTTCTCGCGAATAACAGAACAATCTCGTGAACAAACTATACCAAAATATAGAGGAACCATTCATCTATCTGTTTGTGTTGTTAGTTTTTGAGATTGAGCATTAATTCGCGAGAATTCGTCAAATGAAGTGTTTGTTTACAAAAGTAATTACGCCCTAATCTCGAAGTTCTCCGGATTTTACTGCTTTTGAGCTGGGCTACAGTCCAGTTAACGAACCCCCAGTTAAATGTCGATACAATACCTGTTCTTTAACTAGGCTGCTTTTTAACTGGGGGTTCGTTAACTGGACTGTAGGCCAGTTAAAGAACGTCCAGTTAAAGAACAAGTACTGTATCGACATTTAACTGGGGGTTCGTTAACTGGACTGTAGCCCAGTTAAGAAGCAGTAAAACGTCAAAAATAGACGTCACATTTAGCTTGACATTTTATTGTCAAAATTGGTGAGGGGTATTCGAACGGAGTGAATGAATGAAGATCTAAAAATAGTTCAACAAACTTCTAAGATCTTCAGGGATTCTCGTTTCAGTTTAGGGAACTTCGATGCAGTTTGCCAGAGATTTTTTTAAATTTTTTAAACCTTAAGAATGTTTTTTTTTTTTTTTTAACTCTTTATTTGTTCCAAATTCAAAATAAATTACATTTCATTTTAACCTAGGTGCTCCAGTTACTGCAGTAACGTACCAGCCTTAATTGTTATGATATATATCTAAGTGTTTTTACATTGTTCATGTCTTGGCAATTCAGTATTTTAAACAGGTTTTTTAACCTGCATGTCAGTATAACAATTGATATCTTAAAACTAAAAACTAAAACTAAATCTTATCTAAGTATAAAGGGAATTAATCGTTGCAATTGAGGATTGCAACGATTTTTGCCTGAAATTATTAATTATTTTGTTGGACATTTGTGCTAAAGTCTCAACATTCGAAATTCTATGTACTTCGGTTGTACTGTACCAGGGAGGCAACTTCAAAATCATTTTCAGAATTTTGTTCTGAATCCTTTGAAGTGCTTTTTTCCTGGTAGTGCAGCAACTAGACCATATTGGTACAGCGTAAAGCATGGCCGGTCTAAAAACTTGTTTAAATATTAGAAGTTTATTCGTCAGGCAAAGTTTGGATTTCCTGTTTATAAGAGGATACAAACATTTTATATATTTGTTACATTTGGCTTGAATGCCCTCAATGTGATCTTTAAAAGTTAATTTTTGGTCAAGTATTAATCCAAGATATTTCACTTGGTTTGACCAGGAAATTGGAACTCCGTTCATAGTGACTATGTGACTACTACTAGGTTTCAAAAACGAAGCTCTAGGCTTATGTGGAAATATTATAAGTTGAGTTTTGGAAGCGTTGGGAGAAATCTTCCATTTTTGTAAATAAGAAGAGAAAATATCTAAACTTTTCTGAAGTCTGCTGCAAATAACACGAAGACTTCTTCCTTTAGCGGAAATGTCTGTGTCATCAGCGAACAAAG